CGAGAACCTGTGGGAGATTGTCAACCACAGAATTAATCATGAAGGTGTTCGTAATAAGGATCAACTGTTTGAACAAATCCAAAAAGCCTGAGCAGCGATTCCACAAAGTTTCATTGATCACCTGATCGAATCTATGCCTCAAAGATGCAAGGCTGTGATCGACCACAAAGGATTCGCCACGAAATATTGATAGCGAAATACAGCTTGGTCAACATTTTGTGGAGTTGCACTTGTTTTGTCCAGAAGGGAATCAACTTTTTTTAATACTTTTGATTAATTTATTAATTTTCGTGTACAAATAATGAACTTTGTGATGAATAAAACTTGAAGAATGTTGTCTCTAAACAGCTACATAGTTATTTCTCCATATTGAAAAAATGCAGTACTTTTATATAAAAAAACTAAATTAGCATTATTTGGTTGCACTTGTTTTGTCCGAAACTGCTTTTGTTTTAATAAAGGAAGGGGAGGGGAAATGAGCTAAGGGTGGATGGGAAATTTTTTAAAAATAAATTTATAAACATCTACCCCACCCGCTTCTATTAAGTACTCGAGAATACATATATATATATATATATTTTTTGTGTCCTGTCGTGACCTCACGCGCGGTGCTTGTTCATCCGCAAGTTACTTTGTATGCATGTTTGTGTTTAGTAACCAGAAACTTTTTGTATGTTTATTTCATAATTAGTTTTATCAACTTTGATGATTATTACTGAAAATGCAATTTTTGTTGAAAGTCTTTATGCTCACAAAATAAATAGTAAAAACTGCTTTAAAATATTACATTAGAATATAAACAGAAACACAAAATTTCATAAAAAATATATAATTTTTAAATCAAAAATAAGAATATACTAATAAAATCTATAATTTATAATAAACTTTTAAAATATTGACAATTTGAAAAATATATATTATAAAACATATATTTTTGTAAACAAATATTAATAGCTAAAAAGATTTACGGCTTTGCAGATGTGGCTCAAAGAATGAGCCATAGTATTAAAATAATAATTTGTTTGATCATATATTCTTAAAACAATTTAATTTATTTAATTGAGGGTTGAATTTTAAGATTTTCATACTCTTGTTCAATTCCCTCATCGATATCGAAATAACGCCACATCGTCATACTTTTTTTACCGAACTCAAATGAGTGATAGTTGCTAATATTCTTAATCTTTGGTCCAGTAACTACAGTTTTAACATAGCTAATTTGAGCAACTGCTACTTTTGCATCTTTGGCACCAAAACTATAATGCATAGCCTTGTGTATATCTTCAGCAGTCAAAAGATTATTACCAGAGTTGACGTAACTCCTTAAGATTGTCTTTGCAACTGCACTATCCCTGTCACATTGATCGTTTCCACAACAGGGTTCATTATGATCATATCTCAGAAATTTTATATCTCTCTCTTTGCAGATTGCTTCAGCTGAAAGATTTCCCTGATAGCAGGCGGCATTATCAGATTTGGTAAACACCTTCTTGATATGCAGTTTATCAATTCTGAATTGGTCTAAAACTGCAGTGGCTAACAAAAAACATCACCTATTCCCTGATCATACCTATATATTGAAGTAAAGTAAACACGTTTGAACAATTTTCCTGCTATTTTTATGAAGAATTTATCCACATGTAAACTCATTCCTTTCTTGCCAAAATATTCTCTTTGGTCCTCTCTGTATCGAACTGGAAGAATTTTTTGACAAAAATCTTTAAGCCAGAAAGCAGTTTCATTGTTTTATTGCTTAAAAGCTTCAATTTTTGCCTTTTTCTGTTGAGAATCTCTCATCAGGTGTTTTATGTAGTTGAATACATCTTTTACAACAATTTCCAAATCATAAATAGAATCAGCATCGTCAGAATTTTGAATTGCTAGTTCTTTGATCATCTCGATAGCTTTGCACAAATCATAGCAATCAACTAAAAACAAGTTCTCTTTATGCAGCCCCTATTTCTCAATAACAATGATAAAATATCTACTCTATTTGTGCAAATTTTAAAGATCGTTAAAATAAAGTTAAGACATTTTTATGGTAAAATAAATTGTTTTATGATAACCGTCCACTAACTAGTTTCTCCACAATCGTGATATCGGCAATTCTTCGTTCTATTCAATCACCACATGTTATTTGGCTACGATGTTAATTTAAATAATTCACTTCTGATCATATATTGTTTTTTTATTATTATTTATTTCAATTGTTATGATTTCTATATCATAGTCAGAAATGCTTAAATTTTTTCTTAACATTACGTGCAATGTTTTCTGTAATCCTAATTGCTAATTTTGGATGATAGAAATTTTATTGTGAGTGAAAACTGATTCGAATCCCTCATCTGTGTATCCCAAAAAATATTTCTTTGTGCATAATCATTTTAAACACTTTTTACCTTTAATTTTAACTTAATATCTAAAGATCACGTGTTGTTTTTTTTAAAATTATGTTAGGGTCATGTTATATTGACCATTTAACATGATTATATTTTTACTTAGCGCCTCTGCCATAATGGCTCATTTTGTAAGTATACTATAACATTTTTTTTTTCAATTTCAAGCCTTAATTTACGAATAGGCCTTGGTATCACATAATTTTTTTTTGTAATTTTAAACTCAATACCTTCGATACTTTCAAATCCTAAACGAAAAATTGTGTGCAACACTTTGCCACTAGAAACTCATAGTGTCACGCAACTTTTTTATATTTTTTAGAGAGAGCTTTTGGGTTACGTCTGATATCAACTACAAAAGCTATGTGCAACTTTTTACCTTGCCAAAAAAATGGGTTCAAAGGTAGCAAAAACCAAATTTCTAAAAAATTTTTAAAAAATCTCAAAAATTTAAGCCCAGATTCCGAGTGAACAAACATTTTTGAATTTTTTTTTTTCCTCAACAGGTTTTTTTTATATTCTGATCAATATATAAAAAATTCAAGCAATTTGGAGGAGATCACTTCCACAGTTTCAGGAATTCGCCTGATTTTTAGAAAAAATGGCTCTTCGACACTGAGATTTTGAGAGAGTAATAAGCGTGAAAATATCACAGAAGAAAGCTTTTATTATAAAAATGAATAAAAAAAAGACTTTCATAGATGTAGAAAGCCTTTTTTAATACTATAAAAGTATTAAATAAATTATATTTATATTTTGAAATATTAAACTTTTTTAATATTATCTAAGTAAGAAGATATCAATGAAGAGAACTTAGATTATTGAAATAAAAAAAGCCTTTTTTTGAAAAAAAGTTTTTTTTTAATATTTAGTTATGTGTTAATATTTAGTTATTGTATAAATTTTTTTATAATTAAATAATTAGATATTTTTTGGAGAGAATTTTTTTTTTCACTTTGTTTTTTGTAACTTTGTTGTGTTGTGTTACAACAAAACAAAATGTTTGTGTTTTACTTTGTTATGCTCGTTTTATATTTATTTGTAAATAACAACAAAAACAAATAAAAACAAAAAAAAAACTTAAAAAGAATAAATATTCAACACACATGTATTCAAAGTCAAGATAAAAAACAACATCTCTATTTAATATAGAGATGTTGTTATGTTTTTGATATAAATTCATATATGATCTTAATCTAATATATATTTTTGATATTTATATATTTTGTATTGCAATATTATTTATCATATTTCGAATTCTAATATTCAAAAACATGCTGCCCTAGCCATGGCTGATGCAACAAAAGTTTTGAAGATTTTAAAAAAAGCTTGGGCTTTTGTAAAAGATAGTTGTTATTTGAACATTATTGTTCCTTTTAGAAACAGATCTTAGAATTTGGGTTTAGCACGAGTTAATGGACATTTCCCAGCAGAAATGTGTGATAAGTTAATTGACAACTTACTGAAAGAACACAACCTAAAAATTGATTGTGATACCGTATGTATTACGACGGATAGTGCTTCGGTAATGAAGAAAGTAGGGTGATTAATGTCCATCAACCAGCAACTGCAAGAAACCAATATTAAGTTAGGAGTTACTAGAAAAAAAGAAAAGAGTTATGGAGCAAAAAAACGGTTGACCCAACACTTAAAAAGTTGAAGGTTGTATGATTCAGAAAAACATGAATATGGAAGAGAGTTTTAAATGGTTGAAGTGCGGAGAAAAAAACTAGGCAAATAAAATTTTTTGGAGCATACAGGGACAGTCACAATAAAAGAATTAGACTTTGCTGAATGACTAGTTAAGAATAAGTTTTAGTTGATGAATTGAGAATGAATGAGTTTTAGTTAATGAATTGAGAATGAATGAGTTTTAGTTGATGAATTAAGAATGAATGAGTTTTAGTTGATGAAACTAGAGATGATAGCTTCTTTGAGCAGTAACCATGATAGTATTTGTAGAAAAGAGAAAGAGATGCAACTTTACGAAATTTGGAAAGAGGCTCAAGCTTAGCAGATAGACCAGGTCCAACTACAATAACAATGCGTTTTTGGACCTTGTCTAAAAGAGAAAGAGCATTATTAGATGAGGTATGAATAAAAGATTTGTAGAGGTAGAAAATGGAATCAGAGAATTAGACTTGTCATTAATTTTATATATTATTTTAACTTAAACAATAAAGTTTTTGAACTGTTTATTTGTTACTTTGGGTTTTAATAAATCTTTTTTTAAGTATTTGTAAATACCAGTATTAATACCGATATATCGGTTTTCACTAAATCTAATACCGAAAAACCGGTATTTAATTTTTGGTCCAGTATTGGAAGCCCTAATTATAAGTAGTAATTAGAAATGGTAAAGTTTTTAACAAGATTTTTTTGTTTAAATTTCCTTTTCTTTTTTCATTTTTTTAAATTTTCCTAATAATTGAAATTGGATCTTATCACATTGACATTGATTTTAAGGTGTGCGATCTTAATAAAGATGCGCTTAAAAAAACTTAAATTACACTATTTAGTATTGTTTACTTAAACATTACAGTTTTATTATTTTAAAATTTCAACTTTTTTTTTTAATTCTTCAATTTTTTGTATGTTATTTAGTTTCATACCTGAATCAGTGCGATGGCTTCGCACAAAAAATCATTTACATGAAGCTGAAGCAATTTTAAGAAAAGTAGCAAAGATCAATAGAAGTTCCTATCCTGAAGGAAAGAAACTAATTCCAATTCATGAGAGTGAAATAGCAAGGGGATCATATAAGGATTTATTTAAAGGGTGGACAATGTCAAGAAAAGCAATTGCAGTTGCAAGCATGTGGTATGTTTTCTGCAATTGTAAAAAGGTTTTTTTTTTAAGTTCATGAGTTTAGCTTTTTATTTTTGACTTTATCTTTCTAGGTTCACAAATGATTTTATATACTATGCAATAACTATAGCTGCGGGTAATTTTACAGGAAACTTGTACCACGACTTTATGTTTATTTGTTCTGTTGACTTTCCAGCAAACCTAGTTTCTATATATGTAATAAACAGGTGAATAAGGTATTTTGCTTTTTTATCATGTAATTTATTTACTTAAAAGATAAAAATTTTTAGAATATGAAAAAAGATTACTCAATAAAATATAGGATCAAGGGTTAATTTTTATTTTTAAATTATTGATCTTGAAACATTATTGTATAAATAAAGTCAAATCTCGCTCTACCCTATGGTTTTCTACTTCTTACACTGCTGCTATTTTCAATCTTAACAATTTTCTTCAACTTCTCCACTCTTCTGAGAACAAAGTTACTAAACTTTGTATTTTATCTCCAAAGTTCTAAGAGTTTTTGAAAAATCTTTCAAAGTGTAAAAATGACAGAAATAATATTAAATTTATATATATATATATATATATATATATATATATATATATATATATATATATATATATATATATATATATATATATATATATATATATATATATATATATATATATATATATATATATATATATATATATATATATATATATATATATATATATATATATATATATATATATATATATATATATATATACCCATATAGTGTAGTCGAAAGAGCGTTTTAATGAAAAAAAAAGTCTCTTATGACTACAATTTTAATTACCTCGTCTCTTAAGCTGTTTTTGATTGTCATCGAAATGTCAAAGCAATTAATTTATGCGGAAGTACATTAAATTTAATTGTTTTTTAAAAAATTTTTAAAAAACCGCAATTATAACGACTAGAAAGTTTTTTTTAATTAGTGGTGTTTTTGTTATTGATTTAATAAAAAACATTTTTAAAACATGCGTAAATGTTGCTACATCGACTATCTTATAGCCTGACTCGCAAAGGAGTGCTGCTACATCGACTGACAAATAGCCTGACTCGCAACGGAGTGCTGCTACATCGACTGACAAATAGCCTGACTCGCAACAGAGTGCTGCTACATCGACTGACAAATAGCCTGACTCGCAAGGAAATGCTGCTACATCGACTGACAAATAGCCTGACTCGCAAGGGAGTGCTGCTACAACAACTGACAAATAGCCTGACTTGCAAGAGAGTGCTGCTACATCGACTGAGGGTTTGGTTTGGCCAGGCAGTCTATCAATTTAAAAAAAAAATTTAATTTTTAAAACTTTTTCTGGTCTGGTTTGTTAACGCGCTCTTTAAAACTACAGTTTATGGGAAACTTTTTTTGATGCCATGCAAGAGACATGCAAGAGTATATATATATATATATATATATATATATATATATATATATATATATATATATATATATATATATATATATATATATATATATATATATATATATATATATATATATATATATATATATATATATATATATATATATATATATATATCATATATATATATATATATATATATATAAATATAAATATGTGCATACACACTAGACTAATTCAAATAAAAAGTTTTTGGAAAGTTAAGTGTTGATAGTGATGATAATTGATGAAGAAAATAAATTTAACTTTAACGTTTTTAATATTTAGTGACTTTTTTAATATTTTCTCCTTTTGCAAACTAATATACTAAGTTTAATAAAAAAACTCATAAGCATACTGCATAATATTTGTTTTACTTTTGCTTTACAGCGTTATGGTTGTAAATATTTTTAATATTGTATTTAAAACTATAAAACCATATAAATGCAAATTTTATGTTTTAATTTACCCTTTTTTTCAGAATAGGTCGTAAAAGAGGTGCGATAGCTGGCTATTCTGTTACATGTGTGTGTTTAGTATCTTTAGCTCTCATGCAAATATTTGAAATAAAAAGTAAACTTGTTTTTAATATTTATAAATAAAAAGACAGGAATATATAAGTTTTTTTTTTTTTTTTTTTTTTTTTTATATATATTTATTTTAATTTTTGTTAATAAGAACTATATTTTTTTTAAACTTATTTTCATTAATGATTTGTGTGTTTTAGTTTTACCTGTTAGTGTCACAATTGCAATGATTGCAAAGTTTTCCAGTCTTCTTACGTGGCTTACTGTTCAAATTTGGACTGGTGAATTGTATCCAACTGCCATCAGGTTCTTTTTTGTTTTTACCTTTTTTTTAATTTTTTTTTTTTATTTATTTACCTTTACCTTTTTTTTTTTTTACTTTAGATTTACCTTTTTTTTTATTAAATTTAAATTAAATTGACCTTTTTTTAATTCCAATTTATAAAGAATTTTCTAAATCTAGTTTTTCATCGAAAAACAAGATGTAATTTTTATAATGCTGACACTATTTAGATCTCGGGCAATGGCATTGTTTTTTTTAATGGGTGTATCAGGTGGCGCAGCTTCTCCTTGGTTGTCACAGTTCACTAGACAATTTTGGGCACCTTTGCCATTTCTCATAATGGGTTGTGCTCCTGTAGTACCATTGCTATTTTGTTTCACTCTTAAAGAAACCAAAGGTCTAATTGTTGTTGATAGTTTATTGGAAACTGAAAAACTTAATAAAGGTCAGTTCTATTTAATTTTTTTACACTGTAACTTTAACAAAATAAAACAATGCAATAATGTGCAAATTAGAGATTTTTAATAGTGTTGTTACAACTTTTAAATAACTCGACTGTCAACTAAATTGATTAAGTTGAAAAAAGTCAATTTAGTTGAAATATGGGAATAAATTTTTTTTTCAAAATAAATTGCAATAAAAATAATAAAGTAATTTATATTTGCTTTCTATTTTTTTAACATCGCATTTATATTCGCTTTCTATTTTTTTAACATTGCATCATTTAAAAAATTAAGGAGCAAGCAAAATAAGAGCATAGCTGCTTCAACAACAAGATCATTTATTCCCAGACCTCAATGATTTAGGAAACACTTTAAATACTTGTTAAATATCAAAAAGTCTATACAACCATATTAACAATATCGTTGTATAGATTACATTTAGATTTTGGAGCTTCACGATTTAATTTTACTCCAAGGCCTCAAGCTAGCTTGCAAGACAGCTTGCAAGCTAGCTTGCAAGACAGCCTTGTATGAAAGTATTTTTAAAAGTCACACGCATAGCATAAACATTAAAAAAAAATTTTTTAAATACATAACCGAAAGTTTAATTAGGTATAAATATTTCTAACATGCTATGAATTTAACAAAATTTAAAGAAAGTACACAAAAAACTGTATGCAAAAATAGTATAATAGTATTGTTATTAAATGAACAAACAAAATTGAAAAATTGAAAAAATTAAGATTTTAAGATAATTACTCTACTAAAATGACTTTTAGCTGATTACTAGGAATTCCATAGTCGATTAAATTGGCTGTTTGATTTTTCAAAGTTGAATAATTTTGGCTTTCGACTTTTAGTCGATTTTTGTCAAAGTCAATAAGAACACTAATTTTTAATTTTGGTACTTTAATAAGTATTAAAAGTCTACAAAAAAAATCTATTGTTTAAACATTTTGTTATGATTTAAAATCATCACTTATCCTAACATCAACATATATATATATATATATATATATATATATATATATATATATATATATATATATATATATATATATATATATATATATATATATATATATATATATATATATATATATATATATATATATATATATATATATATATATATATATATATATATATATATATATATATTATACAGTGCAAAACGACTTAAATTAAAAAAATATAGCAGTCAGTTACCTAACAAGGCAACCAGATAATTATTAGAGATCTGTTAAATTTATACTTTTGTCTTTTTTATTTTCTACCTCTTTTTCTTCAAGCATTTTAGTGTGATCTAATTCCAAATTAATAAGATATTATGAAACTATTATTACCACTTATTTATAAAACTGTTATACAATGTTCAAGAATCTTTATTATAATTTTTTTAACAAAACTTTCAAAAAATTTTATTTTGCTTTTAAGAACGACATTTGTTATTGCAATGAAACTGCTTTTTGTGGTAATCATGGCAAAAGAACAATATTTTGTTAAAAAAGTGAAAGGTGTGTTCCGAAACTCACTGGTATCAATAAAAACTAAAATGCCAAACAATAAATGGGATTGGTATTTTACAACTAGATGAAAATAATGTTTTTTTTTTTCTTTTTTCTATTATCGACTAACCTTTGTTTAATTTTTTAAACAAAGATCTTTTATCTTTGCCATTTATTTTATTGTCCATTAGGATTACAACATTTTTCCTGTTTCTTGCATAAAAAAAATTAATTTTAGTTTTATAGTAACTAAATAATCATTGGTTTTGTTTGCCTTTTGAAAAAGATCATTTTCTATCACATTCATTTTACGCTGAGTCCCTTATATAAAGTCAACTTTTATTCTCCAAATATATTTGCATTTTTCCTGTAAAATTTAAGAAATTAATTTTTATTAAAAACCATTATTTCAGAAACCACTTCTGTATAAATAGATAGCAGTGCATCTATTTTTCATATAGAAAATAAGGGATTCTAAAAACTTATTGAATAGCTTTAATTTTCAATGCGCCATATACATCATTTTCAATGTGCTGTAGGGTAATTCGGGGCAGTACGAGACACTCAAGGATTAAAAATTATATAAATAGACCTGGAATTAAGCAAAAAACTAAACACCTTATGGGGCAAAACGAGACAACATATGTTATGCAACTAAAGAGAAAAAATAAGAGACTTATCCAATTATTTTTTATCATAAAAGATGTTAAATATAATTCATAAAAAATATAGTAACTTTAGCTTAAAAAATTAACCTGCTTGGCTAATCTAACCACAGTTAAATAAGCCTTAAAAAACATAGGTTAAAATTAGAGATTGAATATTAAACATAGATAATATTAAATATTAAACATAGATATTAAACATAGTTCAAACTTAAGCACCACCCGAACAAATTGTTGCACAAGTTATACTCAACTAAAGAACATAAATTAATGGATCATAGAATGTTTAAATATAATCATGGCACACACACAGTTTACACAAAAAATCTGTCCCTAACTTAACAAAATAAACTTCATGGTACCATAATTTAAACCTAAAGCATTGGACACATTTCTGGCTAGACTCTGATATTTTTTGGTTTTCTCCATATTTAATTTTATCATCTTTTTTTAGTTTAATCTTTTTTTCTGATGGTCTTTTTTTGTTGTATTTAACTTTTTTTTTGTTTTCCAACCCCTCCTGCAAAGTTTTTTTATACGATGTGCTTGTCAAAATTTCTGAATTTTCTCCCTTTCTTTTTGTTGTCTTCACTTCAATAGCTGGAATTGATAATATATCAGTAAAAGAAAGCTGTTGAGAGTTTGAAATTGACAACGAGGCATTTATTTCATTAACTGAAAAACTAGGAATGGATGTTTGAACATACGAATTTTGGTTCGGCCCAATTAAAGAATTAGTTGTAGATGATTGTTCAGGATTTATATCTGCTACTTCATTAAATATTATGTTTGTATTACTATCTTTTAAACATGGATTTTCAAAATAATCTGACTCAGGAAGGATTTCTTGATTAAAAGGATTGATGCCTGTTACTCGAAATCCAGAAATAGCATTTTCCACTGTAGCTGCTTTCACATAAGCTTAACAAAATAGTCCTGAAAGTTTATCAACTGTAATTCTTCTTCCTGGGTGCTTTCTCATCCATGTTGTGCATACTAAGTTATAAGCACTTTTCAAAGATTTGAACAAAGTTCGATCAAGTGGTTGGAGCTTATGGGATGTATGTGGTGGTAGTGATAAAATATGCAATCCATTTATGCTAGCATAATTGAGAAGATCAAGATTTTCGGTGTGTGATTTGTGACCATCAAGAATTAACAAACACTTATTTGTAGTGCTACAATTTCCATGTATTACAAAGTGTCTTATAAAATCCATAAACAAATTTGTATCTACCCAACCACTTTTAGAACCGCGTCCGACTGTTCCTGGTGGTGCATCATCAATCAATGAATCTAGCATCCGTTTTCTTTTAAAAATAATCATAGGAGGTATGTAGTGTCCCACACAATTAAAAGCTAGTATAACAGTTGTTGTTTGGCCTCTCTCACTACTAGTTACTGAAGATACAACACGTTGGCCTGTAAAAATACAATTATAAAAATAAAGACAATACAAAATAAAAATAAATACAGACACACAAATAATAATTTGATTTTTCACTAAAGCAAATAAAAAAATTTGCAACTTCTCACTTATTACCTTTATGAGCTATTACTTTTAAAGGCTTGTGAACACATGTTAATCCAGATTCATCACAGTTGTAGATGTGATTTGCTTCAAATTGATTTTCATAATAAGTTTTTCCATATTTTCAAAATATCTTTGAACAGCAGCCTTATTTAAACCAAAAACTGGATTTATGGATACTGCCTCAGGTTTTCGAATAGACAAAAAGGGTTGTCGTTTCAAAAATCTAACTATAAAATCTCGACCTGCAAGTTTCTTTTCAGTATTAAATGGATGGTTTATTTTATTGCGTACAACATAGTCATACACCACCCTCTGAAGTTCATTAATTGATAGACCATAAAAGACTAACTCCATTTTGATTATATACTGTGCCAAATTTTTTTCTTGGGCATCAGATAACACTTTTCTATAAGAACCAAGCAATTTTATGTGTGGTTTATCATCAGGCATTGTTTTTATTGATTTATTAACTCTTCTGTTAAGAGAATCTTTTGGAACCGAATATTCATTAGCAGCTTTACTTAATGTCATTTCTATGACATTAAGTAAAGCTGCTAAATTAGCTTGATAGCTAATTTCATATTGCTTTCATCCCAATTTCCACGATTTGTTTTTCGTTTGTAATTTCTAACCATCATAAAAACCATAAAATGTTTACAAAAATTTTTTTGATTTTTCGGAGTATATATCAGAGTATCTAAAAATTAAAACAACTGAATAATGGACTGTCTCATCTTTCCCACAAAGACCATATGTTAAAAACATAAAATTCTTACCTTACAAATCAAATTAAGTTTTTTTTTGGGGTATGAATAATAAAGAAATCTTTTTTTAAAAAATTAGCAGCACGACACTAGTACATCTAAATATGTATCAAGAATATGAATTGCATTGAATATGTCTTCACTAAGAAACGCGTTGAAAAAAATAATGGCTTTACTAAGTTTCAAAAATACCAGTTATTTTGTCATCAAACAAACTAAACATTCCAAAAAACAGGTGTATTAAGCTCAGCAAGTACAACCATAAACTATATGCTTAATATTAATGAAGGACTATGATGATTACTATCTCCAGAAAGGATACAAGAAAGTTGTCTCATCTTTCCCGTTGTCGCATATTGCCCCGAATTACCCGATACATCATTTTCAATGCGCCATATACATCATTTTCAATGTGCCATATACATAATTTTCAATGCGCCATATACATCATTTTAAATGCGCCATATACATCATTTTAAATACTATTTAGTAATTAATAATGATTTTATTTATGCTTACTAAAAGTTCACTGGATAAACTTAAAGTAAATTAGTATATGTGAATATTTTGAAGATATTTTTGCTAGATAAATTGGTAGTAAATTTTATTTTTGCTGAATTAAATTTATAATTGTTTTCAATTTTTTTAATTATTTTGATTTCTGATCATGCTATAGAATTTTTAAATGCAATAATTACGCGATTTACTACTGTTATTTGCGAAAGTGAATCCTGCAAAAATATTTCTGTTCAATAATGTTTTTCTTAAGATATATATCTCGTGAGAATATCGCCAAGGTTAGACTAACACCTGATGTGCCAGTGAAAAAAAAACTAAAACACAGTAATCTTGATTCTATGCATAAAAGTTCTTAATTCTGTAACTTGAATTTTATTTTTTGTTTTGATATTTGATTATTAAAACAAAACTGTGTTTAGAAGAATTAGAAATTAGTTTTCAAATTTTAAGGTGCGTTTGTTTTTGAGAAAAAAACTTCAGTAATTGCAACCTTATTATATTTATAAGAATTTTTAGTCTGGAAACCCAGACTAAAAATTCTTATATCTCCATTGTCTTTTGGATTGAACTTGAAAATAAAACAACGATCCATTGAAACTGCGCAAATTTTAAAGATGGCAAGTATTGATGGCTTTTTTATGGCAATTTTGAAGCAAATAATGATTTTAAATGTTTGTTTGACATTTTTGAAGGTAAATTTTTTAACCAATGACATTAACTTAGTTATAGATATAGATTTCATAGTTTCTGAAGTCAATATATTTAGAGATGTTGAACAACATGTAATCAGCATCCTTTAAATATATTAAACAATTAGAGGTTTAAAGAGACTTTAAATAAAAGCATACTTTAGAAAATGTTGGGAATTTGTTCTTCAAACATGGATAAAATTAACTTTTGTTATATAATATGTTTAGAGAATTCTTATAAGAAATTGTCTGCACTAAACTGAAATGTTGAAGAATGTTGTGTATAGTTGTAAAACTTGAAAAACCCGTTTGTAATGATGCAAAATTAAGAAAGCAAGAGAATGTAATTGACATCAGTTCATTAAACATAAAATTTTTTATAGCCATCTTTTTTTAACATTAATGACATAACAACCACTCAAACTCATGTAAAAATTTATCGTAAAGTCTTTGGTGGACTTTCAATAAGCTTTTTATTCTGTCACATAGATTGATAAAAATTTGACTTTTTTTTTTTAAAGTTCATTATACAACTTTCTAATTATTTTAGTTGGTTGAGTTTAATCATTTGTAGCTGAGTTTTTTTTATGCTGATTATGTTATTTATGGCAGCAGTTGTAGGTTGTTTTTTCTAATTTACAAATATTTCTTGAAATAAAGTTTTTGGTTGTTTATGATATCAATAACAAATTTTTATGGCATATTAATCAGTGTTTTAAATTTAGGACAACGATCAACAACTTTTTGTATTATTATTGTTGAGTTATTTTTTTGTTTTAAACATAAATTTCATACTTAAAATATGTTCGAATTACAAGTAATTATTGCTTATCTATCGTTATAAGATATTTGCCAACAATTATTGAGATTCAAAATACGCCTTTTATCTCCAAAAGATTTTTTTTATCTCCAAAAGATTTGTAACGTGGCGTTTCAGACTCACCCCTGAAAGACTTAATGATAAAAGACTCATCGATCAAAGAATCGTCAATGAATGACTCATTGATGAGTCTGATTAAATAATTAGAACTTTAAAACTGTTGATACCTTTGTGTCTTCTTGTTGAACAATCAAATATTACACAATTCTTACCTGGCATTTTAAGAAAAAACAATTTTAAAGAAAACAAAAAAATAACTAGTTAAAATAACAGGTAAACAGCACAACAATCTTTTTGTATAGGTTCGAATGTCTGTAAATTAGAAAAAAAACATGGAAAAGTTAAAACTATTCTTATTGTTCGTTTTCAAACTTTAATATAACTTATACGTGTTCCAAAACTTTAATAAAGAGATGTTTGTTTTCTAATTTTATATTTGATAATTATTTTATTTTAGACGACAAAAATATAGATTTTGATGCAGATCTTTCAGTTTACGAAAATGTTCGATTAGCAGAGAATGATCGTTCTTCTATATTTCAAACAGATTGAAGCTATTGTGTATATGTATAGACTTTATATAAAAAAAAATTTAATTTGATTTTTTATAAATGTATAATAGAAGTAAATTTCAATTTTTTTCCCAAACTCTTTAGTTGGGAAAGTCTTTTTGCTTGGGCAACCCCTGTTTTATAGAATTTCAACTCCAACAGAAAATTATGTCTTAAATTTTTTTTATTTTTTATTGATATATTGATTAAATCAAGGTTTTAAGAATTCTAAGTTAAAATTGGTTCCACCTAGTCCTCAGTAAAGTTAGTTCCATCTAGTTATTAGTTTAAACAATAAAAGTTGCTGAGTAGGGCTGTCGAAAATCATGAAAACGGCTGCTCGGGGACGCGTCGAACAAACGGGCGGATTCACAGGTACCTGTTATAGAAGTTGAACTTATAAACATTCAAAAAAAACTTTTCATTCAACAATGTCATTTATTTAGAGTTGTGCATTTTCACTTATATCTAAGTTTAGTTTTACTTTAAGTGTAAAAGCTAAACAAGTCCCAATTACGGTTAAGAGATACAAGCATGCCCACTGTTTCTGGTGCCAAAGATGCTCACCGTTGAAATTAATCATTAGTAAAAAAGAAGAAATTGCAACAATTAACTTTTACAAAGCATTTATTTGTAACAAATTGATGAACAAATATATTATACATTTATACATAAATTTCTTATATGGATTTTGATGCTAGATAATTTTGTTATAGAAAATTTTGTTAAGAAATTAATGAACACTATTTTCTTATTAACACTAACTGTTAAGACTAACTTTTTTATGCCCGCTTTAAAAAAAAGAAATTTTTTTAAAACAACTTTTTTTTCCCAGCAAAGTATAAATCTCTTAAACAGGGATGCGAAGTCGGAGTCAAACCCGTCATAATATTTTTTGAGTTGCTTTAGTTTATCATTTATATTAAATAAAAACGCGTTACTACATTTTGATTTAAATACGCATTTAATTTATAAATTATTATAATATCGATTTTAGTAACTTTTTTTGTAGGTTATTTAACTAATTATGTAATTTTGGGAAGAGTATAAAATAATCGTCTTGGAACTTCTTACTTACAAGGCGAGCGCTCTACCACTACCGCAACTTAAAATTAACAAATTTGTTATTTAAAGTATATTAGCAAAAATACTTTAAACCTAAAAAAAAATAGTTATTTTTTGAGCTGTAATTAGTGTAAATAATTGTATTATATATAAACTATTAATGTGTTGCGTCAGAAGGAATGTTGTGGGTGCGTTGTATATTATACTGTATATAACGTTTATAATCTTTATTATACCCGGGGTCTTTGCAAATGTATATATATTGAGTAAAGATACTCATTTTTTTTTTTTTTTTTTTTTTTTTATAATTTAGCCGTACAAATATTTACAAGTTCCGTAATTTAAAATATTTAAAAATGGCAAGGACGAGAAGAAGACGGGGTTGTCTTATCACCAAGTCCCTTGTTTGTCTAGACATTTATATAAATACATGGTAACTAAAATGAAAATTAAAAAATTAAGAAAAAAGCAAAATATTACAAAGAAGTTTATATAAAATGCCAAATAGTTTAATAGTTCAAAGTTTTGAAAGATATTTTTTCGGTTTTTATTTTTTGAAAGAAAAATTTAAAAGTTCATTCAGAAAAACAAAAATATCAAAAAACTAAAAAACATGAAAAAAGTAAACGTAAAATTTAATTTACAATCTGTTCTTATAAAGTGTAATATATTAATTCCTCAAAAATAAATTACAAAAAATTAATATAAAAAATTAAAACTCAAAAAAGATTACTTTTTTTATTTTTCCTCTCTCTCTCTTATTTAAGAAAACTAATAAATTTATTTAAACTAATGAAATCTAAAAATGCTAAAAATCTTTATAAGTACTTTTTTTATAATATAACAGACTGTAATACCTATATAAAATTAAAGAATTTAGACCTTCCAGACAAATAAAGTATGCATTAGTAGATAGTTTTAAAATATAATATTTTTATAGATAGATTTAAAAATAATTATCTGTTTGTTCATTATTTAAAAGTAATAGTTTTAGTTTTTGTTTAAACTGATCAAGAGTTTTAAGTGTTTTAATATCATTACTGATTATCTTATTCCATGCATTAGGTCCTCTAACAGTTATTGAAAACTTGGTGGAGTCGTATATAGTTTTGGGTTGAACAAAGTTGTTGTTAGAATATTTAGTTACGTATTTGTGTTGAATTTTATTAAATAATGGTTTGAAGATATTTGGTATTGAATTGTTATTAATTTTATACATAAAAATCAGAAGATGATATATATTTATTTGGTACACATTTAGTATTTTTAGATTGTTAAACAATGGTCTTGAATGTGAGAGGCGGTGTGCATTTGATAATAATCTAATTGCATGTTTTTGTTTGCTAAATAGCTTTTTTATCTTTGTTTTATTCATAACAACAGTTTTTACTCATTTTTATTTTACTCATAACAACAGTAAGAACAAACAAATATAGATTTATTGTAACAAGCTATTTCGCCAATGAGTATCGTGATAAAGTTTGCGGATTTGGTGTCACAGTACGATGGTTAGGGTGATTTTTCAGAATAGATACAGAAAGTGGAACTGGTAGCAAAACTTCTGAAAGTTGACGAGCTGCATGTGGTGCTATCCTTTTTTCTTTCATGCGGGGCGTTTGCCGTTTATCAAGGTCCTAGTGATGAGATAAAAGAAGACTACAATGAAGTGAAAACTGTCCTGAATACTGCCTTCTCTGCTTCTCCGCTAACAGCATACGAAGAGTTCATAAATCGTCGTCTTAAAGAAAACGAGTTCGTTGACGTATATCTCGCAGAATTAACAACTCTGAGCAAGCTAGTATCATCTCGCGTAAGCGAAGAGTGGATAAGGTGCCATTTATTCTTGGATTACCTGACAAAGCAAGAAAACAGCTGCAAACTGCATGCTCAATATCAATAATGTCGTTGTGCCAGATTGCTGAAAAATCGAGAAGTTTGCTAATCTTACGTCGCAAAGAATCGTGTTTTGTCAGTTGCGTGAACCCTGTTGCCATTAGTTCAAGACAGGTTTCTCAAGGACGCGGAAAAAAGACCATAACATTCTACCGTTGCGGCGAGTATGGACATATCAGTCGAAACTACAACAAAGAAATTGAGAATAAGAAGTGCTTTGTGTGTCGATTGGACAATCACCTGGCCTAGCACTGCTATAAAAAGTGCACGAACTCAAAAAACCTAGGAGGGAAGCCACCCGTTTTTGTGCAAGCGGCATCCCATAAATTTTAAAACCGCCAACTCTCTGCGTATATGTCAATGGAAGAAAAATAAAAGGGTTGTTGGATACTGGATGTTCCAAATCAACTTAAGTCGGGATATTGTAAACATAAAAAATGTCAAACACGCAAAAGAAAAGGTTGTTATGATGAATGGAAAGTCAATTGTAGTAAAATACCAGAATGTTGTCGATCTTTCTATAAATGATACTACCGTCGATTTTGAATGCCTGGTTGCCAACATTGTTGCCGAATATCAAATGCTACTTGGTATGAACGCAATACGACTGCTTGGAGATGTCCAAGTCGGGAGAGACGGCGAAACCATAAACTTCAATGTGGAGTAACTAACCATTGGCGTTACTGCAATCTCTCAAAAAAAAAACGAATGAAGTATCCTCGCCTAATATTCAAAAGCTGATTGATAAAGACTTCGTAGCAGAATTCAAAAATGGCAGTTGGAGCGTGTCTTGAAAATGGCTGTTGGAAACACCAAGTTTAACAAACAAAATTCCAAACTATCAAATCTCTGAAGACGTTAAAAGTGAGTACGCTACGGAAATATGTGAATGGATAGCACAGGGATGGCTGAAACCATTTGAAGGGAAATGTAATGGCATCATTCCGTTGATGGCAGTAATTTAACGAAACAAATTAAAAGTACGTCCGGTGATGGGCTACCGGGAGCTGAATCAATTTGCATCCATACCAAATCAATTTGTTTGCAATACCAAACTTCGCAACTGGAGAAAGTTGGGAGAAAATTTTGAGATGATCGATTTAAAAAAAGCGTACCTGCAAATTCGTGTCGACAAAGCATTATTAAAATATCAAGTTGTGGAATATGAAGGTCAGCGTTACTGTCTAACAAGATTGGGTTTTGGTTTAAATGTGGCGCCCAGAATAATGACAAAAATTTTGAAAAAGGTATTATCCTTAGTCAAAGTTGTCGAGTCTGGGACGGATTCATTTATTGATGACATCATCATCAGTAATAACATAGTGTCATGTTGCAGAGTTCAAGTGAGACTCTTAAAAAAACTCTTCAACTCTTAAAAAAATATGGCTTGGATTCTAAGTTGCCAAAAAAACTTGTCTGACCGGACATTTTCCAATAGCAAATTGGTTGCGCTCTTCGTGCAGCTATCTAAAAAGGGTTTTGAATAGTTGTGGATGGGACTCTTTGGTGAACGATCGTATTGTCAAATTAGTAAGCAGTTTAAATGAAAGACTGACAAAGGAAGATCCTGTTCATGGGTCATAGAACGTAAAAAACACTTCTGAAGCAACAGTGGGTGCGCTGCAAACAGTTAAGCTGTTTGCATAGTTCTAGTAGTGGCTGGGGAAATAGTAGAAGACTGTTCGTGGCTGAGGAAAAAAGATAGTGCGGCTCATATTAATCTCGCAGAGTTAGAAGCTGTGATAAAAGGAATTAATCTAGCAACAAACTGGGGATTCGAATGTATTACCATAAATTGTGATTCAAAGTGTGATTCAAAGTGTGATTCAAAGTGTGCTACTGTTGTTGGCTGGTTAAACTCCTTTATTATTGGTGACAAACCCGTTTGAGTACACGGTCTTGGAGAACCACTTGTCCGTCGCCGGTTGTTGTTAATTGCAGACCTTGTGAAGGAGTTCGGTATACAACTAAAACTTTTCCTGGTAAAGTCAGCAGAAAATAAAGCCGATGTTTTTACGAGGGTACCACAGAATTGGCTGCATTCAAATCTATTTGTCTATTATTGACTGTGGTAAAAAAAAGCAAGTTTATAATTTGGAGGAAGCTACAGAACGAGAAAGAAACAA